ACCACTTTAAAGAGTCAAGGCTTCCCCAAGGAATCCTGGGAACTGTGTGTTAAAGGGGGTGAGACTTGTTAGGAGACCCCTTTTCCCCTCAAAGAACTACAGTTTCCCAAGTTCTCAAGGAAGAGGATTGCCTGTTGGGCCACTCTGAGAACTGTAGCTCTGTGAGGGGAAAAGGGGTCTCCTAACAAGTCTCAGCACCCTTAACAAACTACAGTTCCCAGGATTCCTTGGGGGAAGCCTTGACTCTTTAAAGTGGTATATTACTGCATTAAATGTATAGTGCGGATGGGGCCTAAGTCACATGCCATTGTTTTCAGTAAGAAATGACTAACTGTTGCCGGATTTTCAGCGGAGAAATGTTGGAGGGTATGGGAGTTATGCGACCCCTGAGCCAAGGAGATAAGTAACTATACAACCTTTAGAAGACATATGAAGGGCAGGAAAGGTTGTTTTTTTTACTGTTTAATGCTTTATTATGTTTTTATATATGTTGGAAACCACTCGGGGTGGCTGGGATAATAAAATTGTGTTGTTGAATAGGACATCCCTATTTCATCAGAGAAATGTTGGAAGGTATGCTATTCACTGTGCATACTGCCACAAATCTTGCATGAAAAGAACCCGGGAACCCAGGAGAGTAGATGGCAGGGTAAGAATACCCTGAAGGAGACTCCTCCACAGAGGTGGATTTAGGGGAGTGCAACTGGTTGCTTTGGGTATGGAACCTTGGGGGCGCCATATTTATGATGTAGAATGGAAGGCCAGAGGTGCCAAACTTTGGTGTCACAAAGGGTGCCGCTGAAATTTGAGACCCCAAAGTCTGCCGCTTGCTATCCAGCTCTCTGAGCCTTGTGCTGATTCACCCCGTAGTCCTACTGGGCCTGTGATCAAGAGCACACAACAAGTCAGCATGGCATCTACATCGTTGAGGTTTTAACTGACAAGCCTCAACAGCCTAGGATCCATCTCAGAGCTTGGATATCAGCGACTGCATCTAAACCCCTTCTCCTTCCATCCATTTTGCCTTTTGCTGACAAACCTTAGCTTCAAACAGCCCCAGGGCCAGCTGGCAGTGTGGGCGTCAAGAGTACGATCCATGCAAACCTGCCTGCAGGGGAAAAATCAGCACTGAGTTAGAAAGAGATAGAGCAGGAAGGATAACAAAACAGTTGCACAGGGCTTCGGATTCATTGTTTTCAAAAATTGCCTCTATTTTTTGCAGAGACGGCCTGTGTGGCTGTGGGGAGCAGGGGGTGAAGAGGCAGCAGAAAGATGGAGATGGTGCTGATTTGCATAAGATTTGCATAGGCTAATTTATATGTATATGTGCAAATTTATAAATCATTCCTGCACTTTAAATTGAAATGCAAGCCTCTCACCATAGTGGGGAAAGACTGTCCAGATGATCTAAGTTTCTGATAGGTCTGCTGTCTAGGTGGAGGTCTTTGCTGATAGGCAGCTTCAAAGCCCTCATTCTGCCGCCACCTCCTCCTCCTTTAAACTGGACTTAGGCTGGGCAGCCCTTTACATAAGAGGATCTTCAAACAGAGGACTGTTTCTCTGTAAGGTAGAACACACAGCCACCCTAGTAGACCTTGGCATATGCAGCCACCATTAGGTTGTGGATAAGGAGATCTCGTTCAATGTTGCTGGATTTGAAGCAAAACAGGACTGTTCAATGAAGGAGCAGAGGGGAAGAACATTCTGCTGCACAAGGACCTTGTGCTGACATAATGTTCATATCAGGGTGATGAAAATGGATAAATAGGGGCTTCAATGAATACAACCCAGCATGTCCCACTTTCCTCTGTGGCAGCAAGAGGAGGGATTCTGTGGCCGATGCTCTTGAGATCCTTTAACAGGCCAGCTGATATGTAAAGGGCTCCCTGAAGGGAGAGAGTTTAAGAACCATGGACTTCGTGCTGTGCAAATAGAGAATGGACTATATTGTCACTGATATGATCAGTGGTGAATTGAAGAGAGAAACAAAAGAGAGCTGGGGCTTTGACTTTCCTGAAAGCCATACCTTGTGATCAGAGAAAGCTGGCTGCGATCCCAGATGTTTGGGAGGGGCAGGCCGTGTATGTTCAATAAGGAAATGAAGGCACTCTGCTTATGTCTGGAAGCCACTTCACATTTCCCAGAGCCGAGACCCAAGCATTCTGATAGCAATTTCTGGTTTGAATGAAATCTATCAAAGGCTCTTTCTATTCTGGGGAAGAGGAAGGAAGAGGAGACCACTTCGTACTCATGCTTTGGAAAGAATGAGAGGAACCATTTGTCGGGGACTGGTCAAGAATAAGCTGGGGAGGGGGAAAGCCCTTCTTAAAAGCTGGGTTCCTCTTTCTCCCCATACACTTCATACTCAAACCTGGTTATGGTGTTTTGTTTTGCTTTCTTGGCCTCCCTCTGTAGATTCTCTGTGAAAACATTGCTGGAGAAATATACCATAGAACCCATTGATGACTCATCAGAGGAGTTTGTGAACTTCGCTGCTATTCTAGAACACATCCTCAGCCATCGCTTCAAGGGGGATCATGGTAGGGTTTGCACTGATGGGTGATCTCCTTCCCTCCTTCCCTCCCTCCCTCTCTCTCTGTCTCTCTCTCTCTCTCTCTCTCTCTCTGTCTCTCTCGTTCTTAGTTTTATTGCCCTCATTTTCAGCACTATTGCTACACAGCAGGTGTGGGGGACCTTTGGTCCTCCGAGAGAGTTGTTGCAGAACTCCAGCTCCCACCATCCTTAGCCATTAGCCATATTTGCTGAGGCTGATGGGAGTTGTAGTTCAGCAGCTTCTGGAGGCCAGAGGTTCTTCCCCCCCCAACACCTGCTATGCAATGTATATGGGGGTTGAGCAAATATTGCATCATATGTCGTGGTGCAGGGAGACGACAGCATTGCAGGTTTGACTGAGGGCTAAGCTGGAAGCGATACCGTGCACACAATTAGCAAATTGCATAAATGCCTTTCACAAAGTGAACTGCAGATGCAGTGGGCCAGTCCTGATGGGGACCCTGGTATAAAGGCTGGGAGACTTTCACCCTTTCCCTGCCCTCCACTGCAGCCCTGATCTGGACAATCTATGCCTATTGTTTGCCTTGGGGAGGGCAGGCAGCTCCCATTCACTCCAACTGGATCTTTTTAGGAGCCATTCATGGGATTGTCAACTGCATGAGCAGCACTTCATCTAGTTTGGCTCGGATAAGTGCATTTCCTGGCTATCATGCAACAAGCGCAGGGAAATCCTTTTAATTAATCCTCGTATTTTCTCCAAACCCTGGCTGGCTGACCAAGTGCACTTGCTTCTGGCCCAGCTTTTGCAGTTCTTACTGCAACCCTGTGATGTGTGCCTGTATTATTATCCCCCTGTTCCAGACTGAAGGCCTGTGCCTGAGAGCCAGAGATAGTGACTTGTCAAAGGCCAAGCAGTGACTTCAATGGCTAAGCTGAAAGTTTAGTTAGGTTTCCTCCTCCCAGTTAATCGCTTGTGTTCTTAACCACTGTGTTTACCGGAACCATTTCCCCAGGCAGACATCTGATACTGAAATAGTTAGCAGTCTGGAGTTCCAAAGTGTATGGCAGAGCCTCGCCAAGCATGCCTGCCTCTAGGTCTATCATTCAGAGAAGGGATGAAAGACCTGTGCTCCTCCAGATGGTAAAGGTAAAGGGACCCCTGTCCATTAGGTCCAGTCGTGACCGACTCTGGGGTTGTGGCACTCAACTCGCTGTATTGGCCGAGGGAGCCGGGGTCATGTGGCAGCATGACTAAGCCACTTCTGGCGAACCAGAGCAGCGCACGGAAACACTGTTTACCTTCCCGCCAGAGCGGTACCTATTTATCTACTTGCACTTTGACGTGCTTTCGAACTGCTAGGTTGGCAGGAGCTGGGACCGAACAACGGGAGCTCACCCCGTCGTGGGGATTCGAACCGCTGACCTTCTGATCAGCAAGTCCTAGGCTCTGTGGTTTAACCCACAGCGCCACCCGTGTCCCCCTCCAGATGGTGGTGGACTCCAATTCCTGTCTGCCCCACCCAGCATAGGAGATGATGGGAACTGTAGTCCAGCAACATCTGAATGCCCATATATTCCTTATCCCTGAGCTGATGCAAAAGAAAGGCTTGAGAAAGAAGATTGAGCAAGGTTTTTATGCCCTTGGATTATATTATTTGTTTGTTTGGCTAGTGCTACCAGAATATTTTCCAGAGCAGGTGGGTGATAGATAGGCAGTAGTTTTACTGTTTACAAAGTGTCTTCCCTGCCTCCTCCTCAGGTCCTGTCAGCTGGTTCAGCTCCGATGGGCAACGTGGCTTCTGGGATTACATCCGCCTGGCCTGTAGCAAAGTCCCGAATAACTGCGTCAGCAGCATTGAGAACATGGAGAACATCAGCACCTCTAGAGCCAAGGTCAGAAGCCCTCATTGACTGAGGCAAGCCCTGTTGCTCACCCTTTCCTTGCAGCTGTGCTGCTGAATGCTGACGGGGAACCACTGAAATAATGCAGAAAGGGAATCCCTTTTCCAAAATGGTTATTGCCATGCTTCTACAAAATTTAAAAAAACACAAAATATTAGCAACTTATTTCCATTTCACAATTCTAGGATGACTACCTTAGGACAGAGATACACCACTAAAAAGGAAGGGAAAATAGCTTCGTACAGGATGATGATAATGATAATGATAATGATAATGATAATGATAATGATAATGATAATTTTCCCCAGCCACTCTGGGCGACTCCCAACAGAATTAAAAGCACAATAAAACACTAGACATTAAAAAAGTTCCCTAAACAGGGCTGCCTTCAGATATCGTCTAAAAGTCTTATCGTTGTTTATTTCCTTGACATCTGATGGGAGGGTGTTTCACAGGGTGGGCGCCACCACCGAGAAGGCCCTCTGCCCGGTTCCTTGTAACCTCCCATCTCGCAGTGAGGAAACCGCCAGAAGACCCTCAGACTCTCCTTCAGGTATACTGGGCTGAGGCCATTTAGGGCTTTAAAGGTCAGCACAAACACTTTGAATTGTGCTCAGAAACCAACTTAATCAGTTTGCACAGGTGTATAAATTGATTATTCGATTTACAACAGCAGTTTACAACCAGTTACATCTTTCCCTTTCCAGATCCAAAAGTCTTCAAAATGCTTCAGACTCTTCAGACTTATTTACTCTGCAACTTCCTTGATAGAAAGAGCTTCCAGGACCTTTGGTTCAACACAGATATACATGTGTTGATTAGAAGCTGTCTTTCTTCATATTCTGTTTTGAATGATTAATATTTTGTAAACTGTCAACATATATTCCTTTTGATCATTGTGTCACATCCACACCTTGCTATTAAAGCAATTTTACCAATTTCCCCTAAGCAGTTTTCCCCCCAGCTTCTCGAGAGTAAATTTATTAGGATGTACTACATTAGCAGAGTGGGGGTGTTGGACTAAGTGATTTGTGAGATGCAAATTCTATGCTTAGTAAATACAATTCCCTCATATTAAGCTGCTGTTGTTTTTCATGAATACCAGATTAGTTTGAGATTTTATATTAAGCAGCTTACTTCAGGAGAAAAGAAAGGATAACAGTTTTGTTTTATTAACATTAATCTTGTAATATGCTACCTTAAAAACCATTCATCATTTATCACATCCAGTATCGACTTATCTGGCTCAGAATTTATTAGAACAATGTTGCCTGTATATATACAGAGCTCAACCCTATCAAATTTAATTCATCTATTTCATGAAGAATGTGTGGAACAGTGGGTCACAAACTTCTGACAGCTGAGTCACCTTTCTTTTCTAAATTAAAATTGGTGGCACACTTTTCTTACAAGCAGTGAGGCAAGAATTGCCAAACCGGAGTGGGACTCAACCATCTTTTGTATGAATCACTGATCTTGATGTGACTAGAAAGAGATGCACCCAGAGCAGTGATTCAACCAGAGGTGCCTAATGGGCAGCCTCCTCTGAGAATGGACAATTCGGGAATCTCTACAATGGGAGTGATTGAATTATCCCTTCACAGTGATGCAGAGTTAGCAGAGCGATCCGAGTGCAGTCAAGGCTGATTGGAAGGAAACAAGGCCAGAGCAGTCGATAAATAATGCAAGTGATGCAATGATGCACAAGCCTTGACTGTGGGTGGGTCCTTGTTGCCCACAGCAGCCTTAAATTATTTTATTTATTGCACACATAGCACACAGTTTATGATTTACTGACCTAGAGCAGTGTTTTTCAACCTTTTTTGGGCAAAGGCACACTTGTTTCATGAAAAAAATCACGAGGCACACCACCACTGTGTGCGGAGAGGGAGATGTCAGAGCCCCGCTGCTCTCTATGGGGAATCGGATGAGAGCGGACCGCCTGTCTGCTCTCATCCGATCCCATCCGATCTGATCCCCACCCAGGACGGATGGAAAATAGGGTGGACACAGTCCGGCGCCCGCCTAGTGGGCGAAAATTTGACTTTTTTTTAATCTTTTGAATTTTTTAATTTTTCCCACGGCACACCAGGCAACATCTCGCGGCACACTAGTGTGCCGCGGAACAGTGGTTGAAAAACACTGACCTAGAGAATATGAAAGAGCAACCATTAAGGCTGGCGATGAAATATTTGATTATGATGGATGTTAGTATCGGATGGTGTGTGTTATCATGCTTACGACTTTTGGTCTGAACCAAGGGATCCTTGACCACGATGGTGATAATGATGGAAAGTCAAAGCGAAACATTTTGGAACGCAGTCTAATCCTGTCCGTTCAGTCCATGTTTACCTAGAAGTGAGCCCCATTGATTTCCGTTGGACTGAATCCAGTGCAAGGAATCTTAGGATGGCAGTCTTAGAGAGGGAACTGTCTGAGTAAGAGACAATGGCTGTGTTCACACATTAAAATGCTGCCAGATGGTGTGTGCTTTCCCTCCCCAATTTGGATTGAAACTGTTTTAGGGAGAAAACTCCTCAAAGCATAGGGTTTTGGGGGTTTTTTTTGTAAAAATGAATAAATGACAGGATATTGTTAGGATATATACAGTGGTACCTCGGGTTACATACGCTTCAGGTCACATACGCTTCCGTTTACAGACTCCACTAACCCAGCAATATTACCTCGGGTTAAGAACTTTGCTTCAAGATGAGAACAGAAATCCTGCAGCAGCAGCGCAGCGGCAACAGGAGGCCCCATTACCTAAAGTGGTGCTTCAGGTTAAGAACAGTTTCAGGTTAAGAACGGACCTCCAGAACGAATTAAGTTCTTAACCCAAGGTACCACTGTATGTAGATATGGATTGTGATTAACTCAAGGATCCAGCACTCTCCAAACCAGTAATGGAAGCACACAAAGACTCCTTACAACCCATATATTATAAAGCGGCATTGTTTGAAGTTGGTTAATGGTAACCTGGCTTTCTAAGATTTCCCCCCAAAGCCGTCTTGATGTCACAATGCAGATCCATGTTGAACCAACTATAGGCCCCATTCAGGTAATTTTTGTTAAGTTTACTTGAGTTGGTCGCAATGTGTGGCATTCAGTACTACCTCTTGGGCAGAGTTAATGGACACGACTAACTCAGGTTCATTAATTTTGATGGGTCTGAGTAGAACTTAGCTGAATACAACCTAATGTATTAGAAACAGCCGTGCAAATCAGCTGCAGTTCCGCCTGTTTTAACAAACTTTCTGTTTTAGGGCCGGGCATGGATCCGAGTGGCACTGATGGAGAAGCGCATGTCCGAGTACATCACCACAGCCCTGCGGGACACCAGAACCACCAGGTGGGCATCTCTGGGCTTGTATCAAAGCACATTTGGGGTATAAGGCATTCCTTCTCACGTGCTCACATTATTTTCCTTTGCCGCTCTGCCAACACTGCTTTGGAGATTTTTGAAGCCCTACAATTGCACTTTCAAGACCTTAAAACAAAGTCCAATATATGCAGCCTCCTGGAAGAGGCGATTATAATGCTAACTGTATCTATACACCCTTCCCTGACCCCCCAAAACTCACACTTATTGATAGTCCCTTTTCTAATAAAGAAGAGAGACGCAGGGCTCATTAATTTAATTCATAAAAGAAGACCTCACTTATAGATTAAGGCCTCTTTTCTGTAAACTGCTTTGGTGTGTTTTCTTTTTTCAATCAAGCAGAATATAAATGTTATGAATTAAATTAATGATCTGTATTGGAGAATTTGCCCATTTCCTCACAGCGAGTGTATACAGGGTGTCCACCATGGCTCTATTCCTGAGAGTTTAGCAACGCAGAATCCCAAGTTTTCATGAAAAGTGCTTGAGATAGCAGAACTGAGGAAGCCACATAGCTGAAGAGAAAACAGCTCCACTCTCTTCCCCTAGGCCTCCCTGTCCCCCAGTATAATCAAAAGGCCGTCTCCCTTTGCCTCCCTACAGGAGATTTTATGATGATGGGGCAATCATGCTGAGAGAGGAATCAACCGTTCTCACAGGGATGCTGATAGGGCTCAGTGCCATAGACTTCAGGTATGAATCTTATTCTCCAGATCATTCGCCCTAATGTGCTATTGCTTTAAGAGATATTTCTTACATTGTTATGTCTATTGGGATGGGGGACCATACGCACTAAGGAATGCTGACTTATCTTCTGCTATGTTTCTGGCACATAGTTCCCGTGGTTTCTTGTGTCACCCCCAGCTGGGGCTTTGTCTCTTGTCGAGGGAGAATCGGTACTCTGTACATGTTCAGAAAAAAGGGACGCGGGTGGCGCTGTGGGTTAAACCACAGAGCCTAGGACTTGCTGATCAGAAGGTCAGCGGTTCGAATCCCCACAACGGGGTGAGCTCCCGTTGCTCAGTCCCAGCTCCTGCCAACCTAGCAGTTCGAAAGCACGGCAGAGTGTAAGTAGATAAATAACTGGCGTTTCCGTGAGCTGCTCTGAATCTCCAGAAGCAGCTTAGTCATGCTGGCCACATGACCCGGAAGCTGCATGCCGGCTCCCTCGGCCAATAAAGCGAGATGAGCTCCACAACCCCAGAGTCGGTCACGACTGGACCTAATGGTCAGGGGTCCCTTTACCTTTACCTTACATGTTCAGAAGCAATCTTCTGAACTGTAGGGCTCGATAATATTTATAATTATTCCCAAGCTCTATTGCGACCCAATCCAGTTCAGGGTCAACTTTTATTTGAGGCATTAACTGCCTGATTGGTCAGGTTATATAATAAAGGTGAAGGCTCCGTACTCCCAGCCCTTCATCTTCTCAAGATCTGGAATAAGTAAGTCTAGATCGCTTACCAGTGTTAATAAATGTATGTTTGCCATTTCCCAGTCATTCCTTTTTCTAGGCAAGAGGAAGAGGAGAGTTATAATAATTGTGGCTGTCCTGCCTAGCTGAGCGAGATTAAGTTTTCGCCAACAATCCATGTCTTTCCTACAGTCCTCAAGTAGCATCTCAACATTCTGCTTCTTCAGCCGACGTAAACCTTTCGGGATTGTTATTCCCAAATGTGTGGTGCTATGAGGTTGCAGTCGCAATCCAAATTGCATCTGCAGCAGTAATTGTTCCTCTAGAGGGGTCTCCCCGCATGGCACTGAGGACTCAGAGTAGTCTACTTCCAAGCCAGCTGCCTCCATGAAGATAAGCAACGTTCCCTGAATTTCAGGAAAGGCTTCCTTTGGGTTGTTAAGCATCAGTAAAGCACCATCCGTGAACACATATCTATTCTTCCTGCCCTCTATAAAGCCTTCTGTCTTAAGATTACTTCATATAACTTTGGCCACGGTTTCTACTACAAAAATGAAGCAAACAAGATAGAAGGCACTCCCGCCTCATACCTCTGCTCAGATTAAACAAAAAACCAAAGAACTGAGCCAGAGCCATTTGCTCTCACTGTTGCTCTTGGCCTTTTAATAAGTGTGCTAAGTTACATTTATGAATCATTTGCCCAAACCCAGCTGGAAAAGCGATTGCATCATAAATCTGCTGTGCCCTCTAGTGCCTCTTTAACAGACACGTAACAGCCTCTCAGATCACTGCATATATCAGCCTCTACCAGCCGGTGACTCTTAGCTAATATTATTGCCAGTCTTCTAGTTTAGAAGAAATGTAGGCATTGGATTACAGTATTTGCCCCAGCAGTTTCTGCTTTATAACATTTCTGTGTTCTGCTTTCTCTGATGTGTTTCCTGCAGAAATTTGACATCCGGTTTGTAAGCTTTCCAAAGAGCAGCAGTTCTTGCTCTATTGGTTTGCCATATCTAATCTCTCAACATTTAGAAACAGCATTTTAATTTATTACCCAGCATTGGTAGAAGTCATACTATGTTGATCAATCTTGTTACTCAGCCTCCTTGCTGTATTTCCCCCTCTGGTTTACACCAAATTGGCATTGCCTTGATACTTGATCATACACAGGTTGTGCAAAGCTAGGTGCACTTTTTCTCTTATACAACAGCAATAGCATCTCACTATAAGGTCTCTGCATTCCTGCCATTTTGGCGGTTCTGTAGATGTGCTCAAAGTCACCTGAGGAGAGCTCCTAATCTGTCCTGAGATCTTTGAACCACTGTAATATAAAAGTTGCTGGATCTTCCACCAATGTTGGGGGTCCCTTTGCCCCAAATTATTAGCCCAGTGCCCCCATTTTCCTTTTCCTCCATGCCCAGTTTCCTAAATGTCCATGCTTATTGGCTGCTTTGGCAGCCTCTTGCATTTGGGCATGAATATCTTGATTAAACAGGGACAAGGCTTCTTTCAAGTCATCCGCAAAAGTATTCCTCATTCATCTGAATTGGTGAGAAAGCTTGCTGCCTTCTGACCGCCTGCTCATAAATTTCGGAGTCTTACTTCCCTCATTCCTGCTTCCTGTCATGTCAATTTCAATTGACAGTTCAGATTTCAGACCTAGATTGGGCTAATAACTATGTTTAGAAGCCTTCCACTGTCTTCTGTTGGTACGAGGTTGCATCCTCTTCGGACCACAATGCTTTTGAAGTCTCAGTGTGTTCAAAGGTTGCTGTTGTTTAGTAAAAGAGAGAGGGGGGGAAAGGCCTTAAAGAGTAGCTTAAAGTTATGCAGCCATCTTGAGCCAAATCTTCTCATGAAGATTTCTGTAGTCATGAAAGAATTGCAGCACTTTTTAGCCTTTAAGGTGCCTCAGGTTTGTTAGTTTACAAGGTTCCACTTAGTTGTACGTACACTATATGAAAATTTTTATTCAATCCTAAACCATCCGAGTGTTCTAAAGGACAGGTGTGTTGAGATAGCTTTTGATAACTTGCTTTCCTTTGCATTCCTTCCTGTTGTGATCATGTTTTGCAGTTTCTGCCTGAAAGGGGAAATTATGGATGGCAAGACGCCTGTGGTTATTGACTACACTCCATACCTGAAGTTTACCCAGAGGTAAGGGCTACTGCTTCTGCAGACAGCCTTTGAGTGTGAAGTTCAGGGCCCAGGCTAAGAAAGATAACATTAGAGGGTTCCTTGAACATGTTGTTCTGAACAAAAGATTCAGCATTTTGGTAGTTTTCAGCTTGTTTCCAATAAAATGCAATGCGACCAATATGTTTAAAGCATCTTACAAACAGAAAAATAAGGTGGGCCGTAAAAACAGACATCTCATGTGTCAAAAGTGAGGGTGATTCAGAATGAT